GTATTCAGCACAAACTGGGCTACAATAATATGTGAGCAGCACGAATGTACATGTTTGTGTTTTAGAGAAAACAACGTTTATGCGTGGTTAGTGAAAAACTAAAATTTTTAAGTCACTGAAATAAGGTCATAAACACATACAGAACATTTGTTCACAAGACTTTTGAGAACTGGATGTGGTAGACTAGAGTTTTTGCTACAAAATGATGTGAAAATCACCCTGTTCACTCGCTCACAGAAAATAATATATTGATTTAACGTTTGTAAAATATGTTTTGTGGTAGAATGCTTTAGTTTCTCTCCCTCCATTTAAAAGTCCAGGTCACCAAAACTTAGAAGATCCAAAAAGGTGTTGTAAAATGAATCCATATGAATCGATCACATCTCTTCACAAGACAAGGATTTGTTTTATGATGCCTTTATTACCTTTTTGGAGTTTGGTGACCTCAACTTTCAATGGAAGAACAGAAACCAGTTACGTTTCATTAAAAATATCTTAATTCGGTTTACAGAACTATCCAAAGTCTAATGGAACATTATTAGGGTGATTAAACTATTTAATTTTCGGAGAACTATCCCTTTAACTTACAGAACACTAAAATACATTGAATTGTTTCATAAAAACAGTCCTAATGTACTGTACGTATTCAGACCAGATGGTGGATCAGCACCTAGAGAGGACCTCTACAGCCCTGAAAGACAGCGGAGACCAGGACAACTAGATGAGCCCCAGATACAGATGTTATTCCCCTGTAAAGACCTTGTCTCAGACGACCACCGGGACAAGACCACAGGAACCAGATGAGTCCTCTGCACAATGTGACTGAAATTGAACTGCTGGTTTGGTCTGGCCAGAGGAGAACTGGCCCCCCGACTGAGCCTGGTTTCTCCCAAGGTTTTTTCTCCATTCTGTCACCGATGGAGTTTTGGTTCCTTGCCGCTGTCGCCTCTGGCTTGCTTAGTTGGGGACACTTCATTTCCAGCGATATCGTCGCCTTGATTGCACAGATACTATGATACTATGAACTGAGCTGGATGAAGACATCACTGAATTCAATGATGAACTGTCTTTAACTGAAAAATTAGTGTTTACTATTGTCATTTTGCATCATTGACACACAATTTTCCTAATTAATGCTGTTCAGTTGCTTTGACACAATCTGTATTGTTAAAAGCGCTATATAAATAAAGGTGACTTGACTTGACTTGACTTAATGAACCTAGACTCACAGCCAGAGTCAGTGCGTCTTCTACCAAAGCAGACCACACCCCAGGGGGTCCTTGGCAGGCCCTCCCCCATCCGCTACTGGGCAATGGTCTCCTTGTCATATCTCCTCAAGATGACCTTCACTGCCCTACTGTAGCTTATAACCAATGGGAACCTAAATCCACATTTCCATGTTTTACAGTATTTACCTGATCTCGACTGTCCAGTTGTAGTGCTGTAATATTCCAAGTCCTGTAAAAAAGAATAAGGCAGGGTTAAATTACTGATCATTCAACCATTCTAAGGAAAGAGGAAATGATATTGAAAGAAAGATGCTGTAGCAATGCAAATGCAAATACACAGACCCACCAGTGTGCCATCTAATTGTTTTCCTGCCTGTTTCTCCTCTATCTTCTCTCTCAGAGAGCAAAGGACTGGTTCGATGTAGCCTGCTGTGCTGAGTACAATATTCTTCACCGTCTCTTCAGGTATATGGAAGTTCAGCTTGGAGAAAACTTTTCTGAAACGAGAACATCATGCACTTGTGTGTTGTTCAATTCTAGACAAGCATAAAAGATGTTTATTTGGTAGAAAACTGCTGTCTATTTCCCCCACTGCTCTTCATATGCTGTCTAGATAGACGACTCACTAGATTTTTAGACCCAACCAGTGTTAACAGTTCGGCTGGAGATCCCAGTGTTGTTGCTGAGGTGTAATGTCACATTCCTGCAATCCCCCGGGAATGTATCAAGCGACACGAGGGGGTCAGATAAGCAGTGCAGTGTTTGCATTACTGTCTGCGTGGAGAACAAATAAATATACTTGCCTGTTCAGGGTGCTCCAGTTACTCTGCTTCTGTTGCGCGGAATGCGCGGCCGTGTAGTTGTGCAGCTCCACCAGCTTAGGGAAGAAATGCTTCACTACCTCTGCAGTCATAACTGCTTATGGAAATCGTTAAAATACTCAATGACAACACTGAACTTAGTAAAATGTTATATAGCTAATTATATTATGGTTTTGAATGGCATACTATACTAAGTATAATATTATATTACAATTATAAAGTATTTAGGATATTTACTTTCATATAACTCAAATGCAGGGCAACACTGCTAAAAAGGTCAACAAATATAATGAATAGTTAATTAGCTAGCGGTTTTAATTGTTTCTTGTAGGAATTAAATACCTCCATCGCTAAAATCTCTTGTTATATTCCGTTTGGGTCTGGAGAGCGGTATCTTGTCTATCCACGCGTAGAGGTCTTGCAAAGTTTCTTCGTCTAATTGTTTAGGCCCGTCCATCATTTGAAACAAGCTTCTGCGTGATTAAAACCCGCAACTATCTCAACGGTACAAGCATTAGTATTGAGTGTTTGAATCGTTACTAGGCAACGAAAATACAGGGCGCTGTAGAGGTCATACACGTGTGACGGCGATTCAAATATATGGAAATAAACCAAATAAACTGATTAAAAGAGAAATGTGAAAAACTTTATTATAGTTAAAAAAAAAAAAAAACATTCTCATATTTAAAGAGTAAAATCAGACCAGCTGAGATCATTGCACGTTTTGAATTTAAATATTTGGTGGGCAAAAAAATGTTTGCCTTTGTCTGAGTGCAAAAACCACAAGGATCACAACCAAACAACAAAGAAGATGTAAGAAACTTGTAAATAAGGCAAATGACTAAAGTAAGGTCGGATTATGCTTCAGAAAGGCCATATGGCACAAGCCTTTTTACAGGTCCCCTCTTGAAATTTCAAAAGGTAAATAACAAGAAATTCTACACAAAATAATGAAAATGAAATCTCAATTACAAGATAAAATTGCAAATACATAAAAGCTCCATAAACAAGAATGAATGCACCATAATACACTGCAAAAAAACAAAACAAAGAGAGACCCTTTGATCCCCCACTTAGGCAGCAATGTGATGTGGACTTTAAAGGAGGAACTCTGTAGACTTCCATAGAGACACAATCTGAACGGACTGTAAACAGTTGCAAATAACATTCTTTAAAATTACAGTATAAAATAAATAAACAGAAAAAGAAAGCCAAAATACAATAAAAGAAATTACAAACAAGTAGTACCGAAAGTATAAAGCGATTCCTACAGTGCAAATCTTTCATTCTGTTTTACCTTCTCCTTAACTTCATCTTGTTATTCAGAGCTATACCACAAAAAACAACAAGCTTTGTTCAGCTCGTAAACTGCTGCCCATGTTTTGTTAACCAAGGTTCTTCTGAAGCTCCCAATGATTAAGAGTAACTCATATTGTTCCAGATCATCTGGGCTTAGCAGGAGGTTTTAGTGCAACTTTCTGGATTACCTACAGTAAATGCAAAAGAGCTTTTAAAACACCGCCATTTATTCACACAACTAGACTGTCAAGCAGTTTGAATAAATTAGCATTAACAATGCCATTTTTCAGAGAATTGACAGTGTATTTTATAGTTTATATGTGAACTGCTGAATGCAAAGCAATAAAACCTTACAACACCTGAGGTGGAGTGAATGCTGGCTGCATCCCAGTGGGCTTCACAGGAGGCACTGGAGGTGGTTTTGATTTTGTCACCTATCAGTGCATACAAAGAATGGTTAATAGTATTGAATGGCATTTATGTCAGATGGTGTGCTTTCTGTTGACTAAATTATTCAAGTAAACAATGGCCTCTTACAGGTTTAGATGCCAGTGGTGGCAATGGTCTTGATGGAGGAAGTGGTTTAGTTGGTGGAAGTAGGGGATTTGTCTGAAACAAAATTTAGACATAAGAAATGACACAGTGCTCTTTAGTCTCACTGAATTTTCAAGTCACCTCTGTTTTGTGTCACCTCTGTAATAAGCTTAGAGTCATTAAAAGTAACCAACATTAAAATGAAAATTATACCTAATTATACAGTATATTCTCATTCAAAAGTTTGGGGTTGGTACATTTAGTAGAAATCTGTTGTACTCAACATAGGCTGCATTTATTTGATAAAATGCAGTAAAAACTGTTATATTGTGAAATATTACTACAAATGAAATCAACTGTTTCCTATTTAAATATATTTGAAAAGGTAATTTATTCCTGTGATGATCCTTCATAAATAAGTCTGCTATCAATCTACAGAAATCAAGCACGAATGCTGATTTAGTGCTCAAGAAACATTTCTTATTATTATCTGTTTTGAAAACTTTTGTGCTGCTTAATATTTTGGTGGAAATCATGTGTTTTTTTCAGGATGAATAGAAAATTATTTTATGATATTATAAATGTCTTTATACTGTCTCTTTTGATCAATTTAATGCATCCTTGCTGAATAAAGTATTTATTTATGAATGGTAGTAGTGCATTTTAAGATACTCTGTGCCTCACCTGAACAGGATGAATGTTTCTGGAAATACCAGCAGGTGGTACGGAAGGCTTCACAATTTAATAGAATATGGACATACATTTTTATTTTTGTTAAAACTGTTTTAGATTGAAATAATTACATGCATTTTTAGAGAGGATAAACTACCTGTTCTGTCCTAGTTTGTGGTGCATCCTTTGGAGGCTGTGCATAGTGAGAAATAAGTGGTAGAAAGATTAAGTCTTTGATCCTAAAATTGACTTTTAATGTAAGCACAAATTGAACAGCCCATTTCAAGGCTAAATGAATGACTTTACCATTGGTGCTGGTCTAGAGGGTGTAGCTGGAGAATAGAGAGGTTTGCAGGCCAGAGTAGTGGATGACTCAAGGAAAGTTGGTTGACTTATGCGTGATTGTGTGAATCTGGGGCTGTTCTTTGCACTTCCTGGTTGGAATGCCGGATTACACTGGCCTGAGGAAGTGTGGATGTCCTTCAAAGACCTTTTCGAATAGAATGTATTTCATTAATAGTACAGTAATTGAAACGACAACAGAAATGGATAGTTCATGATTGTCAGCTGCATAACAGATCCTACCTTTTCTTTCTAAATTCTGTTATTTTGTTCCTGTGACACACAAGTGCTCCAATAATAATGATCAATCCAAGAACGACTACAGATGCAGTCACACCAATTATCACAGATTTTTTTCTCACTGTAAAGGTACACATTTGACATGGCTCAGAATTAGTTTTGTATGGTCAATGACTGAATTACGTGAAGTTATACAGATACAGTAAGGATGTGGTTTACTTTTTTGACGTTCTGAGAACTGAACATCACAATAGGGTGGTGCCCAGCCTGGATCACAGTGACACTTCCTCTCATGGTTACACACCTTTAAAATATAAGTCAGTAGTATGTTTACACATGTTTATGCTTTTAAATGCAAATTCAAAATGGACATTAAATACTAGGATGCATAGTTTTAGCACATACAAGCAATATGACTTTCACAATATCACAGAATGACAAATATTGCATGCAATAATGTTTTTCTAAAAAAAAGAGAGAAAAAACATAACATTTGTTATAAAAGTAATAGAAAAATGGAAATGAAAAACGAAAATCACACACCCCACGATTGTTGCATTTATCAGAGCAGTCCTCAGAGCCGTATATACTAATGTCTTGGCAAAGGTTGTGGTAACACACCTGTTGGTTATAAAAAAAATCTAAATAAAGGTTTCATACACTTTTTGTAAGGCAATATACATTCATTATTTACTTGCCTTATTAATGCCACATTTGGTGCCTGCTGGAACCATCCCTAAGTCATCTGTGGGCGAGGAATCTACAGCTATGTAGCAGGTTCTCGAATTAATAGTTACTGTTGATTTTCTATTGGTTATGGGGAAAGGATTCCCACCATTACAGTATATTTTCCCACACATCATGTGCCTGTAGGATTCAGAATACCATTGTGTCATTAGAGAACAATGTACAAAATACTATTTTTAGTCTTCAGCCATCAAAGAAAAGTTACGTTACACTTACTCAGCACTCTTGGAGGTTCTGTCAAATACATTATAACGAAAGCAGGTGTCAGCATCCACTTCAGCATCTAAACATGTACAAGATATTGATGTTAAAATATGAATATATGTATTTTTTATTTTCCTAAATTGCTGTATGAAACTTTATTTTACAAAAAACACATTAATTTAACAAAAAAGCTGTAAAGATTTTGTGTTAAAATGTTTGTAAAAGGATAAAAGAGGACTCAAAAAGCAGTGTATGAGCAATGGCTCAGTAAGAATATTACCTGATCCCCACAGCATCTTGCAGTGCTCCTTATGTGTAGGACATTGTCCATTGTAACAGTAGCCCTGATTATAATTGCAAGGGAGTCCATTCATCTTGTATTCGTCTTCAGGACAGAAGGCTGACTCTCCTGTACAGTACTCGTCCAAATCACAGTCGTGAGCACTCTTTCTGCATAGGCTATCGGAATGTTTCAGCTACAAGGGAGGATTAACCAAACAGATTAAGGCAATAATCTACTTTTACATGTATTTTCAGTCCAATAACAACTTTAGTATGGTCTTCCTGTGGAGCCTGGTAGGCAGCTTTGCTGATACCTGGCAATTGTGGCAGCACTCTCCATGTGCACAGTGGGCACCTTCGGTCAGTCGACACGTGGTGGCATTGCAGCAGGGATTGTTACATTCCTAAAATTTAACATTTAAAAAAAAAATTGTCAATTTTAAAAAAAATATATATTTTTTAATCCAGAATACACTATCATTCAAAAGTCTGGGGTCAGTATTCTGGCTTGCGACCAATATTTTGTCTTTAAAAAAACTATAATCGAGATCAGTAAGATTTTTTTAAAGAAATTGATACTTTTATTCAGCAAGGACACATTCAATTTATCAAAAGTGAAGACACAACCTTCTATGAACCTTCTATTCATCAAAGAATAAATTGAAATAAAAATAAAACATTAAGCAGCAAAACTATTTTCAAGATTGATAATAATAAGAAATGTTTCCCAAGCAGCAAATCAGCATATGAGAATGATTTCTGAAGGGTCATGTGACACTGAAGACTGGAGTAATGACTGTTGAAAATTCAGCTTTGCCATCACAGGAATAAATTACAACAGTTATTTTAAATTGTAATCATGGTTATTTTAAATTTAAATATTTCGCAATAAGTTATAATAACATTACAGGACATTACTGTTTTTGCTGTATTCTTACTGACTATTATAGTCAAATACACAACTCTATTTTAGTCATACTTTAACTAAGAAGCCAAAGTTGCATCAACTGGGAAATTGTATAAACTAACATGTCACACCTCAACAGTTCCGCAGTCACATTCCTCGCCTTTTTCAACAAAAGCATTTCCACAAACTGGGCCTCCATATAGTTCACCCTCATTTGGCACATCTAGTAGACAGCTGGTGTCATAGCTCTGCAAAAACTCCTTTAAGGACGATTGACTGCAAGTACTAAAGGAATCAGGGTAAACATACCTGTTGGAAAAGTATGTAAGAAATGTTATGGTCTGTGAAAAAACAGCAGAAAAATACAATAGTTGCCTATCTCTTGTGCCATTGCATAAATGTATTCTAAACAAAAGTATTTTCAATCAGCCTCACCCAATGGTGTCTGACATAACACAGCCCTTGTCAGAGGAGCATGCACAGTTTGAATCATCATGTGACATGCCCAGATTATGTCCCATTTCATGGGCAATGGTAGAAGCCACTGCAATGGGATTTTTATTATGGTCCTTTGTAAAGAAAAAAAATATCAAATGTCATTATATTATTCACCACAACCAAAGCTTTCTTTCAAACTTTAGAAAAGTACACTTTTTAATCTATTAATTTACATATATAAACATATGCTCATAAAAATACCTCATTCACAGCACCAGAGGATGGAGAGCACATAGCATTCACTGAGGCCAACCCAACTGTTGTTCCTTCAAAATCTACAGCACTGATTAAAAAAAGAGAACTTGAGGCATTAAAGGATATTTTCGTTGTTCCACTGTACTATTTAAAAAAATTAAAAATAAATAGTTTTAAAGCTTGTGGTAAGACGCATTTTAAAGTGTTTAGTGTGAGTAAAAATGTGGCATTCACAGCACAGAAACTGATTAAGATGAGCAATCAGTGACTCACGTAACAAAATGGGCATTGTCATGCTTCTTCCTCTTGAGCAGGCTATCTTGACGCCATTGTAAAAATCGTCTCAGAGTAAGATTTGGTATATTGCTGACATCAATCAAGTTTCTATTAGACCAAATCTCAAGTCCAACCAACCTGACACGTATGTTTAAAGGCCGGTAAAGCTGAATGTGAACAACAAAAAATTCTATAAATAATATGTTAAAAATCATTTAGTAATCACCATGCATAACCTGTTCATTAATGAAAGACCAAAGTTGTCTGATACCTTGTCTACATGATTTGCGACCAACATCATTCTTTCTTCAATCTTCTTAAAACTTCCAAACTTGTTGTACTGAAGGAAAATATGTAGATATCTTTTAACAATATAAACACAACACATCAGTGCTCAAGATATTTTTTCCCATTAAACCAAATTCATACCTCTGTATGATCAACAACCAAAACCATCTCAACAATCTGCTGTCCTCCTCTGGGGGCTTTGTTTTTCTGAAGAGCAGTTGAAATAAAGTTACTGTCATAAAACTGATCATGGTAAACACATTATAAATAAGATGCTGAGGTACAAATTAAACATGCTGCTTAATTATGATATAAGGAGCAAGTACAGGATTTATTTTCTATGTTGGAAACCAACACTAAATAATATATGGTTAAATATATGATGCTAAATATATTTCTCATATAATAAGATTACATTCCACAATAGATCATTACTTGCTTGAATACATGCCATTAATTAACTGCATAATTCTGCCATATGGACATTACTTTGATAACAGATCACTCTTCATTGTAATGTAGAAACATTCATCTCATGTAAAGCTGTATTGAAACAATATGTATCACAAAAAGCACTATATTAAATAAAATCATTAGAATAGCATTACCATATTTTTGCCTTTATACAGCCCACTAGACTTTGGACCAAGGTTATAGACTGTGTCATTAATGTATCCAAAGGCCCCTTGCTTGGTCCTTAAATGCTCTTGCTTATAAATTGCATGGTCACCATCCAAAGACTCTTCTAGGGGCTCAATCAAGTAAACTTGATTTTTGACCCTCAGAAACCCTCTAGAGGATGAACAAGATACAATATTTTAGAGAGGGAGAAATGTAGGAAATATTTGTTGATATTAACTGTACACACTTAGAAGTCATTTAGTTCACACTATCTAAAGCAACTTGTTACAGGCACAGTCCAAGAAATGCAACTCTGAAATATCTGTTTTACTGTACACAAAGTGGACTCAGGGTATATTTAACATATTTTGACACACATTTTAATGCGTTTAATATTCAATCACATCTATAGTTTACAAAATTTGCTTAAAATTGAATTTTTTCTTACTCCATGCCAGAGCAAAGTCCAACACTGACTGAAGATTCCTCAAAATTATGGACGTGTCCCTGATAGTAGCAGTGATCCTAAAGTCAAAAACATAAACAGTTAAGCAGCAACATTCACATACCGTGTCAGACAGAAATAAGCTACTGTTTAAACATACAATATTGTCTGAAGACTTTGTCTCTGAAATCCCATCTTTGGTATAATGTGAGAGGGTGTAATGTTTTCCTAAAAGCTCCCTGTTGAAAAAGAAAAAAGAAAGAAAGAAAGTTTAATTAGGCTGGGTATGAATACAAGTTTAGAGCATAAGTTGTTATAGCCTATATTTCTAAATAGTCACATTCTCACCTATTTTTGTGCAAAGAAATTGTGAAGTTCCTCCCATCTACCGCCAAATCATATTCAAGTTGTTCAGGATATATCTGAATGGGTGAAAGCAAGCATGCATGAATAAAAGTCAAATCAAGCATCCCAAGAGATGTCAATAGTATTTCAGTTTACAAAACTAGTCTGACAAAGAGCGGACCTTGAGAGAAGAGGCGCTCCTCCTCGCTCGCTCTTTCAGTGCTTGAGGTCGGAGTCGCACCACATCATAGCGCATCACATGAGGTAAAGCTGCCTCAAGATTCTCTAAAGCAACAGTGAATAAACAAATCATCAGTATGTGTTACCAGTAAATTAAAAACACACCACGCGCTGTAAAGAATCCTCATAATGCTGCGCGCTCACCCCATGCATAAACAAAAGAAAGCAGTGATATAAATAATCCAGTGTATCGCATGGTTCACTGTCCTGTGGACTCGCTCCGGGACTCGTGGGCTGCTGTGGGAACTCGGCTACTTGAAAGTTCAAGCTCCGCCTCGGTTATCCGGTAAATTAGCAAGAAAAGACTACCTCCTCATCCGGTAACAGCAAACTGGTCACTAATGAATCACGGTCCTGTAAATGTGTCAGTATTTTTTCATTGTGTAAATGTGGCACAACAATACTTTATATTTATTTATTTTTGTTATAAACTATTTCTAGGCTACATTAGGCCTATGTAGGCTACAAGACAGAATGGAATTTACTTTAGAGCGCTAAGATTTTTCTTTTCTTTTCAATTCTGTAACTAACTAAAGCGAATATTATTTCTGTTCAAATTAATACCTCAAATCCTCATAGAATCCACTGACAGTAGGTTAAGATGGGGGAAGATGCACCTCTAAGGAGAATGTGCAGTTACCAAATTTAGCAAGTTTTAGCATGTACAGGATGATACATCAACCACTGTGGAATTAAGGGAAATTATAAGGGTGTCACAGAACAAAATGTAAAATTATTCATAAAGGCCCACTACCAAGGTAAGATGGCACCCCGTCTGGGGCAAGAAGCCTTTAGGCTAAACTTTTGCAGAATGTATAAATGACTTTTGATATAATTTTTTAAGTGAAATTAATATAAAAATACTAAATCAATTATTCTATTTAAAATTACGTTGACAATTTATATGAATAATTGAATTACCAATGACAGACAAGGCACAATCCTAGTAAAAGAGATTCATCTGAAAGCTAAATTTATTATAACTTACATAGCCTACAGGTAGGCCTAGCCTATATGAATATATAAATATTTAATTGCTCATATTTTAATTGAAGATATGTCACAATAGTAACACTGTGAATTCAAACTGAATGATTTGCCTCAAATAGCCTATAGGTTTAAATAAATAGCGAAAATGTCTAAAATACACATCGTACCCCTATTTTTGTGCTGCTTTCCCAACAGAAATTATGTCATTTCCTGGAAGATGATGCCATTAAGGAACCAGGTTTCGTTCGTTATTACAAACAGGATATAACAAAAGACTACAGTTGTGAAAGAAAGTTAAACTGAGGACACAGGAATAAAACACACATAAAATGAATGCCATTTAAAACAACATTCCAAATAAAACGTAGGCGTATTTTAATATTTTGACTAGAAAAAAAGAAATATGAAAAAACACTTGCAATATTAGTTATTAATAGTTATTAATTGCCAAGGACATGAAACAGTAGTAATGAAACAATTTCAAAAATGAACCATTTAATTGTGATTGTCGTGTAAGACAACTAACTAATATCATTTCAAATTGTTAGATTTTTAGCCAATATATTAAGATATTAATTATCAATATTATTACTATAGGACAAGAGGTTTGGAAAATGGATGAATGGATGGATGAAAAGCAAAACTGGAATGACTGTGCTGACATCCTGTGGTTATATTCTGCAGGTGCAGTTTTGACAGTTTTGCTTTAGTTCCTTTTGGTAGTGTAGGCACTGCTTATCAGACTTATATGAAAAACTATAAAACAAAAACCTTGTTTTAATTGTTATATTACACTTTGTTTTGTTTCAAAATAAAATGACAAGACAGTTTCTCAAGCATTCGTACACCCTGCGTGCCCTCAAGTGGCTTTTAGTTTGAGGACTTTTATTTTGACACGGAATCGCAAGGCGGGTTGTACGTGTAGTATGTTGATATAATGCTACAACCTGAACATAATGCTGCAACCTGAATTAATTGAACTGTTGGGGTCTGCAACACCAAAAATTCTTGCAGAAAAGATACCGGTGATTGAAAATAGGGAATCTGAGTGGCATGGTTTACAAAAAAAAGAAAGAGGGAATGAAAATGCTGTTTCACCTTTTGGCTTCAGACCTCAACGACTACGATTTGCTGTAGAAGATGAATATTTTGAGGTATGTAGATTGTTCGTTGTTTTTATTGCACTTCAGAAAAGTTCCTTCCCTCTGCTAATATAACAACAATTGCCTGTTTATCTCTCAATGTGTGTGTTACTTAAGAGTGACGAAGTTAGTAGAAATTACATGACTGTAATGACATGATGATGGGGTATTTAGCAAAATCCTGATTTCTTAAGGTGTAATTCAACAGGATGGCGACATACACAGGCACATGTACCTACAGGATGTCGTGACGGCTATTGCAGATGATGAACATCCTCCGACGTGAGCAACGTCCTTTCACCATTAATATTGCTTGGTAATTAAGCAAATGTGAATTAACAAATGATTAATAATCATAAATTAATTGGTAGATCCAACTGAGATCATTAGTATTCATCTTATTTGTTAAAGCTTTTTTAAACTAAGTAACTAATTATCATGTCTATGGAGAGTATCAGTCCAGGTCGATATATATATGGTCAATGGGATGTGTTTCTTTCTTTGTAGCTGTCATTATGTAACTTGACAGTGTAGATTTTAGTATTGTTATTGAGTAATATCACCATATCAGATGAGGTCAAGTGCTGGGGAATCTCCACCATAAGTTTACTGATGACATCACTTGGATGAGTGGTGAAACATTTTGAGCAACTTACTTCCTCTTGAATTGATACCAATTGTGCCACTAATATTTCAACCCTCTTCCCAGTATCTCTGAGTTCAGGTGTCACATTGCGGGATGCAGGCAGTTATTTGACACTTTGGAAGGGTATGAACACCACTACAATTCATTACATCGAAATGTGTGTTCCAACTGCAAGCGCTCATTTCCATCAAACCGACTGCTGGAGATGCACATCCTAGAGTGGCATGACTCTCTCTTCCAGGTCATGGCAGAGAAACAATGCATGGTAATATCATTTGTAACATCAGATGTTATAGGAGTGTAGGGAGTGATGCATGTTGTTGTATGAAGTTGTGTGGTCACTTTAAGTGGTATCTGTAGGATTATATGCATACTAGATTTAGGCTGATGATACACGGGGCAACTTTTTTTGAGCAATGTTGCTTGGGCACTTTCCCACTGAGAATGGGTAACAAATATCTTTCTGGATACATTAGATCGGTCGTGGGCCCTGTGTCTCCCCTTGTTGCCCACTGACGGCAACATTAACCAAAGTTGCCCAGCAACATTGATCAAAAAGTTGCCCCGTGTATCATCAGCCTTAGTTTTATTTACCACAGTTTGATTAAGTTGCTAAGAATTTGAGTGTCATTGCAGGCAGCCTTCCATTAATTATTTGAATTTAAATGCATGCTAGATAAGAACAGCGGCTGCACAAAACACTGTTTTTGTAGTGCATACTCACCACATATACTTTTGATGTTTTTATATCACTCTCTCACTGGAAATACTACATAAAATCATTTAAAAATTGATATTCATAACTATATTATACATTCGGAAAGAAGAATATACATTAACCAAATGAGATCAAATATCTTTTATGTAACGAAATGCTCCACCTACTGGTTTCAATAGGGAGTTGCTTTAAATGCATTGCGTGTTTCAGTGGTTTGAAACACTGATTTTAATGGGACAGAAATACCAGTTATAAAAGAATATGAGTACACGTTTCCTCCTCCTCATACACTCTGTTTATACCAGCAAAACTTTTTCAGCTTTGCTAATTTTTGTGAAAACATTTTCTTTTTGCTGATTGTGTGTTGTTAATGTCGATTTTCAGTACGAGTGCTTGGTTGAGGGATGTGGACTGAAATTCAAAACAAGCAAAGAGAGGAAAGATCATCTTATCAGAACACATAGCTATCCAGCGGACTTCAGATTTGACAAAGCAAAGAAGAGCGGAAGGTTTGATGTTAATTCTAATGTAAATTATGGGCCATTTTAGATTATAGAAATTTTACTTTTGCTCTCATATCCAGTCATTTCATATATTACCTAAACAGCCTCATATAATTTGGCTTTTATCACTTTTTTTTAATCATAATCTCATGCAAATCACCAGAATACAAGAAAAAAAGACCCAACAGCAGAAGGATGCAAATATGGAGGTTTCTGAAACGGCAACTATTCACCAAGAAAGCGAGTCGATGGACTTGACACCAGAGCCAGAAAGCGTGAAGGCTGTAGAAACAGAACCAATGCAGACAGCTAATCTAAAGCCAAGATATTCATACAAGTGGGTGGATTCATGGTCATGGATTCATATAAATGCTTGATTAAGTTTCATTACCCTGTAGACTCAGTGATCAGAGCTATTTGTGTTGATTATTATCTTTCCTTCAGAGTTCCATCATCCATTTGCTTCGGTCAAGGCTCAGTCAGAGGCTTCAGAGGAAGAAGAAAGAAGTAGGCCAAAGTTTTTATTAAATGCAAACAATTTACCACGTTTGCTTGGTAAAGCATTTGTTTGTCCAGAGCAGTATTTTTCCAATAAAACGTGTCAAAGCAGTCTTTAAAAAGACGTCTTGTCTCTTTTTATGGTTGAGAGTAGTAATCAGATGAAAAACTTCGCAGTCGGTTGTGGCAAGGAGTTTGAAAGTCGAATGTCGAGGAAAATGTCTATGTTCAAAAATATTAAACTTGATAAATATGTATTATGTATTCAAATAAATGTAAGCGTTTCGAGATCTAAAGTTGCTTTCAACTAATGGCACAAACATCTCGCTAGATGTTTCAGACAAATGCATGCGTATAATGATGGCGAGTGAAACTCGCGCAAAAACTAGGCTAATAAAAACTTAAGACGCGTTGCAACTAATGTGTTCTCCAGTAGGTTTCACGGGGATTTGGATTTTGTAACTATAAATAGCGTGAAGGTTATCTGAAGGGTTCGTATCTGCATGTTCTTCAGATTTTATTTTTTTTTATTTTGGTCAAGTTAAACGTAAAAACGTGTAATCTTTTAATTTATGTTTTATTTTTCTTGTTATTGTAATATTTTTATTTCTTCGTATTTTTATGTATTATTAGTAGCCTAGCATCTTCGTGTCTTGGAAATTAATATTGTTGTCCGTTCAGCGCTGATTATTAGCCTAAATTAAACGTTTATCGTCGGTCTCCGAAACAATTTAATAGGCTACATGGAGCAACAGAGGCTACAAATCTCAAAAGCGATTTGCGTAGCGCATCGATTAGACATTTTATTTAGGTTCATGTATGAAAAAAAATTATCTGGAGGATTACTGAATTAAAAGTTTGTGTTTTTAAACTTATAAATAATAACATTGTACACATCAGTCTCTTGAGATTTATTTTTTAATGCAAAAGATTTTTCTAATTTGTATATACATATAAAATATACAATAATTTACAGAAGATAAATGTAAACACAGTGTATAAATATCAGCAATCCTATTTGTAATTTATTTAAATGGGGAATGCAAAATCTGTAATATATACGTGTATTTACAATAATAAAAATCTAGACATTAATCTTAGCCTACAACCTAGCAAACTAGCATACATGTAGTCTATTGAAGGGATTATGGCTAAACAGGCCAAAAATCAATAAACAGGCCAAAAATCCTCTGTATCCAAGGGCATGTAAAAACGTTTGGGAGGAAAAGTTTAGTAAAATTATGGTATAAAGGACGATGCTGGTTGTCTCTGCATCTAGTTCCTCTTCAATAAAACCAACAGAATAACAAGCCACGTAGCCTATTTCAACCTAAAACCGGGTAGCCTGTCCAATTAATGAAAAAAAGGAAAGAAAAGACGTAAGGACCTGGCAGTGTACATTTCGCAAATTGTAGCTAACTGGGTACAATCTTTGTAATATGCTACAAAATATTTGGTTTGCGTGAAAATACACGTATTCATTTTAAAAAGGCTCACATTGACTATCCATTTAGGCCCGAATTTGGCAGCCTATATAGCCAAGTAATGGAAAGTAGCAATGTCATAAGACATATAATTGAACTGTAATCATTTTTTATTTATTTTTACTTTATGATTCTGCTGTCAGTCGCAACAAGCTCTTTAAGTTAGAAAAAACCTTAGTAATAATTATAAGGGATTTTCTTTAATCTAAGAGCTTTGTTGGAACTGGTACAGACCATGTATACATTTCAGAGCACACTAGGTGTTTTCTAGCGCATCACTCACTCATCAACAAGTGATGCTGATCTAGACACTTGCCAAATCGGCGGTGCCCTCAGTAGAAATAATCTCTTGGAAATTATTTTCTCTGAGACTAAGAAAATTAGTCACATAGCGTGTTATCTGTGTGCTTATAATACAAGATAAAGTATTCAGGGAAGATTCATTGCACTTTTAAAGCCAATTTGTGGACTCTTACTTTTGGAATAAACTGTGTAGATCACAAGAATAATTTATTTTAAATTGCTGTAGAGTTCTTTAAACAAAACATATTTGCTGTTATTTCACTCGTCTTCTGACTGGCAGAACCGCAGCATACAGACGGTGAACTGAAGGACGTGCTCACATGGTTAAGACAAATAATACATTCCGTAGGTCACTGGCCCTCCGAAAAGTCCTGGGACTGGTAACGCAGGTCTAGGAAAGGAACTGGACGGTCCGTAGAGGGGGGGAGAACCAACGTGTGTTCCGAAGGGGAACGGAAAGGCGAACGCAGGTAATAATGGCTTGGTTGCAAGTTTGAATTTCTCTAGTTCGGCCTCTTGTAGTCGTTTTGCCTTCGCTCGCCTGTTTTGAAACCAGATTTTAACTTGAGTCTCTGTGAGGTTGAGTGAATTGGAAAATTCCGCTCTCTCTGCAATAGAAAGATACTGTTTTTGACGAAATTTTCTCTCCAAAGCGAGCAGCTGCGAGGTGGTGAACGGGGTCCGCGGTTTTCGGTTGTTCTTATGCTTTCTGAGGGTACACGGAGGTGGACTTGAGTGCCCTGCGAACAAATAACAAAACATTGAACTGATTAGTTTGACAAATTATATTACAGTGATATTACTTTAGGCTACATTAATGTAGCCTAATTATATTACATTGCCTTGATAGTTACTTTTTCTGCCGAAGCCACACGTTTATTTTCAGCATTATGAGGAGCATATGCATTATGTGCGAAATCAGGTTAATCTTAAAATTTCTACATACAGATACGGAAATATAGACTGTTTTTAATTCAAATCGATCCACTAAACTGTCTTAATTTGGACTGGAATGCGTTTTTTTGCAACTTGTCTTTGCATACGTAGCTGGTCAACTATTTTAGCTACTCTTTTATGACATCAGGCTCTTCCTCTCCACACCTCACATTCTTTTAATTTTTATACACAAATCTAATTTTAAATCTAAACGAGCTTGATTAAATATAATAGGCCTATACATATTGCTCGATTTTCTTGGTATTTTTATCAGTGCGTTTTACTATAGCCTAGCCTATGTAAAACATGCATGTTTATAACTGTCATGCATCATCATGCCACGTTATTGACAGGTTTCCCTGCTGAACCACTCACTTGGCGGAGAAGTGTACGAGGGTGTCTGAAACCAGCCGGACTGTCCCTTGTCATTTAGTTCTTCCATATCTCCTCTCTTGCAGTCGGATAGGTTGGAGACGCTCTCCACTGGGATCTTATCTGCGTAAAGAGTCATGGGCGAGAGCCTCAGCCGCTCATCTCCACCGGATGTCGGAGCTATAATACCAGATTCAGATGACGTGTATAAAGTCCGTGTGCTTGTTCTGTCTGATATTAAAGATTCCACACTGAACGGAAGACTCAGCGCCTTGCCTTTACATCCTTTGACAGTCGCTTTATCGTTGGTTTGAGCCTCCTCTTTGTCCGCGCTTTTGCGTTCCTGTAGTTTTCCTTCTTGAGAGAGTGGCACTTGAAAAGAATTCATCATGGATGATAAAGGGGCCATACAATAAGAATATGTGAGTCGTCCTGAATTTTACTCGTCCACCACTGCCTTTCCCTTCTGCCGTCGCGCGTTTGCGACGCTTGCCTCACTCTCCTAGCAGCAGAGCGCACTCGCAGCTATAAACTTCCAAAAGTTCTCTTTTTTCCCTGCCGCCCTCCAATCGGCTTGACATTTCACCCACATGACTTTCCGGTTGCTCGTCCTGATTGGTCAAACCAGTTTCTTTGAGACGTCACAATGATTTTGAAAGAAATGTTGCATGGTTAATCATACTTGTCTTGCCGAGGTGGTTTATTGATTGCTCTGGGGGCTCCAGTCTTGGAGGCAAGGAGCCATTTGAGAAGTTTTGTTGCAATTAACCAGAGGGGATGTCTGTATAGCGGGCCTCCGTACTCATTAACTGAACTCTTATTGAAAACATACAGCGAAACAAACCACTTCCTTGGCCTATTCGTCCACGATTTCTGGGAGTTTTCTTTATAAAAGCGCTGTATAGTGGAGATAGTGGAAAACGTTTTTATAACGCACGTGGGATAGAATTTTAAGGGTTTTTATTGAATGTGTACCTATAGCCTACTAAAATTAAGGCCTGTGATTTTTTTCCCCCGAGATAAAGTTTTTTTTAAGTTGCTCTTTTTAAATTTTAATTCTAAATCGCATAGTCTGTTTCACCTCAAAAACATAACCCAGTGTTCAATGGGGGAAAACCAGTCTCAGCTTTTTCCGTAAAACTGTGACGGGACAAAATGATGTGACTGAGTTGACGATGATTTTGTCACGCTGCATTACAACAATTTAAAGCTTGTCTTGGCCCTTTAAGGCTGCAGAAAGCCTCTATTGAGGCGCAACTGGCAACCCCTCACCGTAAGTCAAAGCATTTCATAACGCAGACAAGCCCTGTTTTGGAAGGCGCCAGTCTCGGCAAGATCAAAAAGGAAGCTACCTCAGGGAGAATATGCAACAGTTAACTCCACTTAACCAATTGTCCTCGAAGAGTTTAATGTCAAGGCAATAGCCAGAGGGCAATCAGTTCCCACAGACAGCGCGCACCACTCAGTTAACTGCATGTCTCCTTTTAGAAGGTTTGGACTTGATCATTTTTATTATCGGAGCACGTTTACTTTGCAGATTTCTGTCAAGGCAATAGCCCATCATCCCGGTAAAGATTCTACCCTAGGCTACTTTTCAAACGGAGTTAGGCCTTTGTTCCAAGGTAAATTCAAATTAATTACCGACGATTAATAATAGGCCTAAGCTTTTTTTCATATTGAATTTAAGCAATTTTTTGTTTTTAAATCACGCACTTATAATCAAACTATGAAAACACGTTCAGGATTTTAAATGTGTTAGACTGTTGGTTTTATTAGCATAGCGTCCTCCTTATGGATCATGACATTCGTTTGATCGGTTTCAAATGCTAGTAGATTTAAAATGTATATGTTGGTGGGGAGAACCCGTTATAGGGGCTAAAACGGTATTAGAAGCTTTCTATTTTAGTTTGTTCACCTCGACAGATGACCCGCTAAATTAGGTCAGCTGTTATTAGCCAGATGTGTAATTTATATGAATCTAGGCTATTTCAGAACCATGATTCATCGTTCAC